TCCAGCAGTATTCTTTGTAATTGTAAAAGTGAGCTAACATATGGAGATACTTGATTCATGCTTCTTTTCTCAATTTTAAAGGCAAGTTTATAGTTTGAAAATGTTTCTATGTGAATATACCCGCAGGTCTATAAATAAAATAATCTCAAGCTAAAGCAAGCAAGCAATAGCTATTTATACTTGATAAGTTTTAAAAATATATAGTATTTTAATATTAATTTTCTAAGCAGTCTACCAATTTACCAATGTGTTCCTAATTTGTGCTGAATTTGCTGAAATATTGGCTTCATTGAAAGGAAATGCCTTCTCCCTTTGCAGTGAAGCATCTCAGTGACCGGAGCATACAGTGGCATGCGCCGGTTGTGAATGAAGCTATTTGGGCAAAAAGGCATTTAAGTACTTTAGTGTGTAAATAATAAACATACAGTCTATATTACAAGTTCCACTGACACCTGTGTGTATAGTTTAAGTGTGAATCTATTGAAAACACCTAGAACTTGTGAACATTTTGTAGAATAATTCTCACTTGCTGCTTCTAAAGCAATTGATTGCATGTGCATGTGTGCCTGGGGCGCTGTTTTAACATGGAAAACTAGTTAGATGTGTGGAAGACACAGTAGTGAGACTATGTCAGAATGAACGAGAAGACAGACGTTCATCGGATTCTCCATCAGGTCACCCCAGCTTTACGTCTCACACATCAAGACAGAGAGAGGTGCAGTGCAGGAAAAGGCACTGGGGGCCTCTGGGAGAGAAATAAAACATGCATTTTAGTTAGTTTAGGTAGTTAGAAAAGAAGGGGGAAGGAAAGAAGGAGGAAAAGAAGCAAATCTGCTAGCAGATTCACCATATCTGAAAGAAGTCACCATAGAATTCCTTATGGCTCAGGACTTCATTTATTTCTTAGGGAAGCTGCTCAGGGAGCTCTGCTCGGCAGGAGAGACTGGCCTGCTGCGAGCCCTGCCAGGACAGCAGCACACTGCACAGCTCCTTCATGATGCAGAACTGCTCCTCAAAGGACTGACTACAATAAGAAGGGCAGGCTTTTGTGCCAAAATACTGCCATGGGGTGTCAAATCCAGGTACAGTGGACTCATTCTAACTCTTCGGTTACTCTGCGCTAGAAAAAAACATAGAAACGTCAAGCACCAAACTGCAATTGTCAGAAGTATTGCTAAACAAAATAGATTTGGGAATCATTTGGAATGAAAACCTGCAAAAATTGATTAGACCTGTAGAGTACAGTGATATTCTAATGGTGAAATGAGAGAACTACAAGCAAGAGCTTGAGTGTATTTTGACAGGGCAGTCTATACAATGCAGCTAAATAAGACTGGGGAAAACATCACCACTAGGAACCCAAAGAAATAAAAAATAAAGATAGGAAGATTGGAACCCAGAAGCATATTTCCTGGACATTTGGGTTGATAGCAGTCTACAGTGAAAAAATGGAAAGACAAAAAAAAAAAAAAAAGCTATTCCTGAAGTAGGCAAAGGTGATATGATACTGTAAAGGGGAAAAAAGGAAATAGGAGCTGTAATTCAGAACAAAGCAAAAACAGTACCTGTGATATCCATAAAAGTGCTTTCTTTAAAGAAAGGTGGAGAAAAAGAAAGACAAGACCAAAATCCCCTTCAAAAAAAAAATTAGCTTTACATGAGAAATGAATGAGTCTGTACTCGGTTTATGAAATATGAATTGATGTCTGCGATCACATTTTTGTCCTTCAATTATATTTTGTAACTAATAATTTCTGAGGTTTAGTAACAATATTGGCTTGCTGAATGCATGCTGGTTTGTACACCGTGTGTATACAAACTCTTCTGGCCCCGATACAGCTCCATAGAAGCTATGCCAGTCTAACACAGGAAATTTGGTTCTGTTTCTTGGAAGCAGTTTCTTCAGCACTTACATATTATTTGGGATCCTTTCCATTTGTTATCCTTTAAGTGAGAAAACAAACAAGACACTCCTCTGGAAGTATCAAACAGTCTTAAATTTAATCTGTTCATCAATTGCACTGCCATCATTTAACAGGCAGCTATTGTTAACATGAAAATCAGTGGGAAATAATATTATCCCCCCCCACAAATGCAACAGTAGCTGAACCCGAGAAGAGAAAAATAAACCAACTAAACACAAAAGGAGAGAGAGGAGTGGAGAGGAAGAAGAAAGGGAGAGGAGAGGGAGAGGAGAAACAGAAAAATATGGGGAAGACAGTGTGAAATTCTCACCATCACAACAAAATGTCTGACAAACCTTTCAGATTTATCAGTCTGATCTGAAGCCTGCTGTGGTGAACTGGAGTCTTGCCAGGCGCTAGATCAATCCCTTTGGTCCAATTCTGATGCTGAGTGAAGTGGCTGAGGGTAAATATATCAGAAAATTCATCCCACATCTGGGGCAGGGAGGGGAGGGTGCAGGGACACTTGGTCCCAGCAGTTACCTTCTCCCAAGCTGGCCAGAAGTGGGGCAGCCTTAAGCAGGCTACCATGACCTCTGAAGATGATGCACAGGTAGACTGACACCATTTATGTTTTTAAGCATCTACTGTATTGCTCAGAGGTACCTTCTGCCCTTTTAGTATGCTGGACCTTGATCTCCTCCATTTTATTCCCTCCATCATGAATCTGACACCTTCGAGATACTCTCTTATCCCACGCCCAGCCCAGGCAGTTTAGGTGAGGATTTAGGCTCAGTGAGCACAGTTGGTGTCGTCCCCCCCCTGCTTGTGTATCACACTATAGCCTCCATTATACATTTTTAGACCTGCATATGTCAAACAGACTCAATTAAAGTAACTTAAAGTGCACACCAAACCATTTTATTAAAGATGTAACTATAAATAGAGTAACACTGGAAACTTGTTGGTATATATAAACCACCAACTTGCAGCTAAATTAGTTTTGTTATTAAGCACCTTCTCTGCTGACAAGGTAATCTTAAGTGAATATATTGTATTATGTATAGGTGCTGACGGAATTATTAAAAGATACCTGGAGAAAGAAGCAATTTGCATTGAAAGTCTAAGGCAATTAAGATCATATGGATTGTAATGAGGACGAAATGAATATGGGGTTACGAGAGGAATAGAAATAAAAGTACAGCTATACCACTGTAACAGAGATTGCAGGGCAAATGTGTATTATTTAAGAACCATTATGTGATGATGTAATTAAAGACTCTTGTAATGTGTGATAACATGCAAAATAACAAGCCAAATTAGTTTTATATGTGCTCTTCACCTTTTAAAGTTTGATTTTTGTGTGCTTACCACTCTTTGAGTAATGCAGTAATGCATGATGTAGTTTTTTCTTGAAATCTGGGGTATGTATCAGTAAAAGCTAATTTCCAAAAGGCAACTTTATACTTACCATGTACCTTGAAGAGTTAGAAAGATTTTTCAGCTGTCCATATGACTTCTCATTAATTAATGAAGTTGAAGGGAGTATATTTAGTCACATAACGTAACAGTGCCCAATCAGAGTCTCACTGGCATTCTTGCTAAGATATTCCAGCAACATGGTTGAACTATCTCACTGCTCTATTTTAAGGAGCGAGAGGGCATGCTTATAAAATATTCCAGGGGAGGGGAAAAAAAAAAAAAAAAAAAAAAAAGCAAAAAAAAAAAAAAAGCCGAAGCAGTCAATCAGTTGCTCATCCCGTCCGTTTGGAGCTGCAGGAGGACAGAGAGGGCAGAAGGGCCAGGGGTGGGTGGCAAACAGCCCCCCCCCCCCCCCCCACGCCCGCACCCCGAGCCCTGCGACCCGGGTGACCCCCGGGGGCAGGAGGCTGGTGGCCTTCAGGGACCGGGTGGCTACCGTCCACCTGCGTCCCTCGCCGGGCTCCGCGGGCGGCGGCTGCCACCGAAACACCCGGGGGAGCTTCGAGGAGCGGCCGCGGGGAAAGGGGCGGGGGGGCGGTGAAAAACATCGTGAGTTCGCCTCGTGAATTTTAGGCATAAAATGCGTTTTCTCCCGGTGGCGGAATAAAACGGTGTCTCCTCACCTTCCCCCGAACGCCTCTAAGAGAGCGTGAGTCACGGCATAATTCGGGAATTGCACCTCGCAGTCACATTTCACAAAGTTAGGGCAACTACGGCAGCGTGTCCTGCGGGACTTGCCGGGCCGGGGCAGGGGGGTGGGGGCAGCCACACGGGTACCAGCGCCCCCCCGCCCCCGCGCTCAGTCCGAGGACCGCAGGGAGCCAGCCCGCGGGGAGCCGCCACCGCCTCCCTCGCCGCTCCGCACCCACTCGCGTCCCGCCACTCCCCCTACCCCCCGCCGGCGGGGCAGACTCACCCCACACCGCGCCGAGGAGCCCGTGGGGAGGCAGCGGAGCCGACAGCAGCTCCACGGCCCCGGGGCGTGGGGCCCGGCCACACCCTGCCTCTCCACTCCCTCGCTCTGCGGAGCAGCCGCCTGCCCGTCTCCCCAGGCCGGGCAGCCCAGCCACCGCCTCCCCCCCCGCCGCAGGGCCGCGCTCCGCACCCGCGGAGGGGCGCCGCGCTCTTCCCTCCCGGCGGCCGAGCGCCCCCTTCCCCACCCCCGCGCCGGCGCCGGTGCCGGTGCCGGGCGGGGGGCGGCGGCAGCGAGGGAAGAGGGATGAGGTCATCCTCTTTCCCGGCGTCAGTCAGCTGGGTGGCGGCGGCGGCGGGTGCGGGCGGAGGCGGGCGGGGAGGCGGAGGCAGGATGCGCCGCTCTGGGCAGCGCTGCCCTGCCCGCTCCCGGCTCGGGCGGAGAGCGGCGGCGGCCCCGGCCCCGTCGGCCCCCGCGGAGGAGGAGGCGGTGGCGGGGAGGCGGGCGGGCTGAGCGCGGCTTCCCCCGCAGGCAGGCGGCGCTGCGGGCGCGGAGGAGCCGCCCGCGGGGCGCGCAGCCCGGCGCGGAGCGGGGGAACGCGGGGAGCGGCGGGTCCGCGGCGGCTGCGGAGGGCGGGCGGGAGGCAGGAGGCGGAGGAGGAGGAGCAGGGGGAGGCGCGGGATAAAGGAGCGCTCGCCGCTCCCGCTCGCTCTCCGGCGGGGCTGAGGGGAGGCATCATGGCCGCGAAGTCGGACGGGCGGCGGAAGATGAAGAAGGGCGGCGAGGTGGCGTTCACGCCGCTGCAGAACTCCGAGCACTCGGGCTCCGTGCAGGCGCTGGCCCCGGGGCTGCCCGCCGGCGCCGGGCCGGGCGGCGGCAGCGACGACGACGAGGCGCCCGGGGGCGGGTGCTGCGGCGGCGGCGGCGGCGGCGGGGACGGTTCGGGCGGCGGCTCCCGCTGCTGCTGCTGCTGCTGCTGCGGCGGCGGCGGCAGAGGAGGAGACGGCGGTGGGGGCGGCGGCGGGGGCTCCCGGGGCTCGGGCGGGGGCTCGTCCTCCTTGTGCCTGCGGCTGGGCAGGGAGCAGCGGCGCTACTCGCTGTGGGACTGCCTTTGGATCCTGGCCGCCCTGGCCGTGTACTTCGCGGACGTGGGCACCGACATCTGGCTGGCGGTCGACTACTACCTGCGGGGCCAGCGCTGGTGGTTCGGGCTCACCCTCTTCTTCGTGCTGCTGGGCTCCCTCTCCGTGCAGGTCTTCAGCTTCCGCTGGTTCGCTCACGACTTCGGCACCGAGGACAGCGCGGCCGCCGCAGCCGCCGGGCACTGCCCCGCCGCCGAGAGCAAGCTGCTGGTGAGCAGCGGCTCCGCGGCCGCGGACATCGACGCCGCTCGCCCCTGCACGCCGCAGAGGCAGGCGTCCACCGCCAGCAAGAGCAACGCCACCACCAACAGCAGCAGCAACGGCGGCAGCAACGCGGTCGGCGCCGGCGCCGCCGGTCCCCGCGCCGGCAGGTCGGCGTCCTGCGCCTTCTGCATCTGGCTCCTGCAGTCGCTCGTCCACATCCTGCAGCTCGGGCAGGTCTGGAGGTGAGGAGCGGGGAGGGGGGAGGCGCGGGGGTCGGGGCCGGCTCCCTTCGCCGGGGGAGAGGGAGCCCGCCTGCGCACGGCGAGCCTGTCCCGTCACCTTCTTTCCCACCCCCCCCCCCCCTTAACTTCGGTGTGCCTCCTCGGGACAGCGCGCTCGGGGAGGGGGGGGCCGGGCGTGGGGTGTCCCGCCCCGTCGAGGGGAGCCCCGCCCGGCAGCCGCCCGCCCGAACATCGCGGGGTGCCCTGAGCTCCCCGCAAAATCTGCGCCAGGGGCCGAGGGAGATGCGGGAACGGGCGGGGGGAAAAGGGGAGCGCCCCGGGAATGCGCGTCCCCCGGCCTCCTCGCGCGTGGCCAGGACGGCGCTGCCGCCAGCGGGGAACTTCACTGGCAGCGAAGAGTTTCTTTCCAGAAACTGTTAATGAATGCCCCGTTGGCGTGTTTCGCTATTTATATGGAAATCCACTGCGTGCAGTCGGCTCCTCGGTGCACCTACGCGTTTTCTTATACCTACGATGTACTAAAGGGATGCCCTCTAAATCAAACTTTTCAGTAGCTGCTCTCAAAAACATTCGCAAGTGACGTAATGCGCGCTACAGGAAAGATGTGCTGAAGTAGATTGTAGGAGCCACTTACTGAAAAGGGAGATGACATCATAGTTTGCAGAAGTAATGTTTTCCTTTATTTTAACCACGTTTACAGGAAAGGTTTCTATGGAGGCTGAATGCCCTGCATATACATCTAGCACTGCCTCAAAAGTGCAGAATTCAGAATGCGTTGTGTATAAGGAGTTAAAATTTTTGCATAAAATCATGGAATATAGATTCTGAGTCAAAGAAGGTTTTGCGGTGGGGCAGTGCACTACAGCAACAGCTGGAAATACTGTGGGGGTTTATTGTCTGATGGGTGGAAAGGAATTCTCTCATGTTTCTGCTATGGAAACACTGGTTTGTCACAATTATTTTATTAGAGAGTTTGATTCATTGTTACTCTGGACAGGGACTTCTGCTCTGTATTTGCGCAGCATCCAGTACAGCTCTGTTCTGCTTGTGGCTCTTAAGCATCAAGGAATCCAAGTGCTGCTAGATAGTAGACCAAAGATCTTGGGATGCCGTAGCTAAATGTCTTTCGCTTTCCAGGGTCTTTGGTTTATTATAAGAAGTACAATTTTCTAAACCTGTGAAACTAACTCCCAAGTTACAGATGTGCTCAATATTAACTATGACACAACTTGCGAGGGAAACAGAATTTTGAACTCAAAGCAATGGTTTGTTCTGGATTTTGCATGCTCATATTCTTGTATGCTCTACCTCTATGGTCGAACAAAAGTTGAATTTAGGACTTTCTGAATGAGATGGTCTTATGTAATGTTTACTCCTGATCCTGCAGAGATGGAAGAGTAGGTGCAGTGGCTCAGATTGTACACAGAAATTAATGTTGATGCTCATCCATATAGAAGATAAACAGTGTGCAGCATGCTGAGTGATATAGAAGAGAGTTTTACAAAGTCTGGCATCATGACTCTGTGTCGGAACACAGGAATAGCAGGGCTTTGGGTGGAGCAGGGTGTGATCCGGTATTGTACAGTGCTTCTGTCAGATGAGGTGGCTGGGATTTGGAGCCCTCCAGCTGTTTGCTTTTCGATGAAGTACAATCTCTTTTAACTTAAGCTCCTTGTAAGAGCTCCTAGTCCTCTATATTTAAAGCTAGGTGAGTCTCTTTTATCAAATGTAGCATTTCTTCATGCTTTTTGTGCAGTAGCGTAAGACTAACAGAATATTAAATTGGGAAAGTCATATATTTATGTTTTAACCTGTTATTTTTTTTTTTTTTTTCCAATGGAAGAGCCATAGAATTGTTTGTCTGTTGGTAACTCAGTAGTATTTATTTGCAATTTTCTACAAACATACAAATTATATGTTCAGTTGTATGCAGTCTTGAATATCAACACTTTCTAAATGATTAAAGTGACTTCATTTTAATTCCCTAGGTGAATTCCTCATAAGGGAGAGCCTTTGGGGTCATTTGAAACTAATAATCAGCACCAAAAAGGCGAGACCACATCAGTCCCTGAGAAACTCTGTACATAAGCATGGTGTCAGAACTAACACGGTCTGTGGAAATTTTCTGGAACGTACTGTCTCTATTTGGACACTTAGAAGTCTGAGCCTTTCGCTCCGCAGTGTAACATCTGCACTGGCCCGAGCAAACAGGGCCTGAGAACTTAGCCTGAAGGACGAGCTGAAGTGTTTTCCAATTGCATGTGTTGGGGGACGAGCTGCTCCTCTGACGCAGCGGAGCAGCCTGTGTGGGCTGTGTTAGCACCACAAGCACACACGTGCTGGGGGCACCGTCTCCACAGCTGACAAAGCCCCAGTTATGCTTTGTTCGGTGCCTCTCTGTGTGTTCTTCCTCTCTGCTTTCAGTTTTTCCTTCGCTTTTTCTTTTGGCCCTGGTTAAAGCTCTCCTATAGCTACATTTAATTTTTCTGTTACTTATTGTATTGAAACCCGCCCAAGCAAAAATGACAGTAATATTTCTGTCATTTCTCTGTCGACAAAGAGCCCTAGGTATGAGAATTGAGGTTTTGCATAAGGGCAAGGATATCAGGGCACAAGGAAAGAGATTTGCTTGTGCCTGGTTCTCAATATACTGAGACTGGCACTCATTCTGCTTTCATTTGGTGTTCGTTGTCCTCAGTCTCCTTTTAAAATGTTGAATTGATTCTTGAGGTCTTCAATTTCCCATTTTTGTCCCATTGCCAAAGGTTTTGGGGGGAACTGTGTCAACTGCCTATTTAAGGGAGCCATTCTGAGGAATGGGCCGGGTACAGCTGGCAACCCCAATGGTTCTTGGATTAAAAAGAAAAGATGTAAAAATGTGGGTTTAGTGATTAGTTCTGTCAGGATAATTTTTAACAATTCTGAAGCTTTTCCTTGTCTTACATTCAAGATTAATTTTTGTTTACAAATACATTGAAAGCCAGATCATTGCAAATGATTATGTGTTAATTTTAACTAAAATGTGCTAATGGTAAATGAATGAGGTCTTTAATGTGGCATGGAACAATGCTGGAAATAGGCAATCTAAAATTACTAAACCAATTTTTTCCTAGATCGTAAAGAAGTGGAGCTGCAGGAACAACTAAGCTGCCAATCATTTCTGAATAAAAACATACCTTTTCTTTTTTCTTTTGAAATAGGTATAACTTTTTTTTCCCCCACAAATTTGAGAAGACTGAATTCTTCCATTTTGAAGAATAAGCCTATAAATACATGTTTTTTTTTTTTTTTTTTCCAGGGGGTTTAGATGTTCACAGACTTCCTGATAACACTGTCCCTCAGTTAAAATTCCAGTGAAGTCTCTGAGGAGTTGTTTGCCACAGCTGAGTGCAGCTACTAGGCCTTTGTTGGCAGCTAATTTCGTATTAAAATATGATCACTGATGAGATTCTGCCTTCAGAGATAGATACAGATGTGTTTCCTCATCCATACTTCCACTGTGTTTTGCTTTATACCATTATATGGGCATGGAAGCCACATTATGGAGCCCTGTTCTCCCAAGTCAGTGCCGTGAGAGACACAGCCTTTTATTAACAGGCTGTGGGGAGTACAAGGAGGATGTGAAAAAAAAAAAAAAAAAAGAAAGGAGGTGGATGCTTTAATTTATAGTCTGTGAGGGCTATGTGGAGGTATATGGGCCAGTAGAATTCGGATAAATTACTGCCCTTTGAACCTGGTATCAAAGTATGTAACCACTGCCCTTGAGCATCCCTTTGACTCACTAAGCTTCCCAGGTTTAGCCCTGGTTTTCAGATTTCATAGTGGATAGCAGGGCTTGGCCACTGGATGTCAGAGATAATAGCATTCACTTGGCATCTGCGGAGCTGGTTCGTTTCCTTGAAATTTTTTTCTCTGGACAAGCTTCCTTTGGCTGGCAGGATTGGAGAGCCATGCTCCTGAAGCTGGGTAAAGGAGCCCTGGGGGGAGAATAGGTTGCGGGAAGTTGGGCAGGCAAGAGGAGGAGACTGGAGGACTTGATGGTGCCCATCTTGCGGTGTCTGGAAAGCATGATGACTGTTGTGCCTCGTAGGTGAATGGTGTGAGAAGGCTGCTGTGGTGCTCAGAGGTTCCCACGGTGGCTGTCATTTTGTCTGAAAGGTTGCTGCCGAAGTGCCTGAAAGGGAACTGTCAAGTTTCTGTAGCCAACAAGACCAGAGGAATGGTGAATCACTGGAAATAAGACGACTAGAAATTACCCTTTAAAATTATTTCTGGGTAGCTGAGATGATACTGAGATGATTAAGTATATCCCACTCAACAAGAGTGAGGGGTTTTAGCTGAGATTTGCTAGCTGTGTGGGAATACACCTAGAGAAGGAGGAGGAGACACCAGGTTAATTGCTGGCCCTTCCAGCTGGCACTTGTGGGGGGCAGGTATCTGTTCCAGTGTGGGTCAGGTTCCATGAGAAGCGATGCTATGATTTATCTATATCTGTTTGTGTTACACTAAGAAATTATTATCTTCCTCCTTCCCGGTTCTTATTAGAAAGAAAAAAAAAGAGTTGGAGGAGGGTTGTAGAGGTGATGATGGCTTCTGGAAGCAGTGTGAGTTGCAGTCCTTCTGGTGCCCTGTGGAAGCATTTTTCACAGGGCTGGATCATCTGCCAAAGAAATTTCATTGCCTGCACTCATTAGCTTCACCTCTGCAAACAGCTGGTGCTCTTACAATTTAAAAAATAAAAGAAGAAAAGGGGGAAGAAAGGTGTCTGCACAATGGATGGGAAGTCATTATGACTTCCTTGGGTGCTCGCTGTTAAACATGACTGGGCCCCTAAGTTGGAACTGTGAGCAAAGTAGTTCAATTTAAGAAAAAAGTTATCAGTCTTTAAATCAGCTCAACTCCATCCTTAAATAGGTTCATTTGTTTTTTGCACTTCTGCTCTACATAGTAGTTTTGACACTTTTGTTCAGTAGTAGTGTAGGAGTTCAGTGTAGTTAGGT